TTTGTCCCAGGGAAATTCCAGTCTAAAATTCAAAATGGGGAAAATGACAAAGAAAGTATGTGCAATTATTTCAACCAGAAGGAATGTTCCTATACCTTATATGTTCAATGTGGGAACACCCATTCTTACAAACAGTGCAACCCCGATGCAGGCAGTACAGTGTCACATTGGAATGATGCTGTAGGGTGTGGGAACTGAGGATTCTGCCAATGGCATCACAGAAAAGGTGAATTTTGAGGATGGGTTTGAAGAAACTGATGGTGCATTGATTGTTCCGTAATTGTGATGTTGATAGGAGTATATGGAACATGATCACACAGTGTTTAATGTTCATAAAACATTACATCATCTCCCCAAATATCACATTTCTCTAATGTTCAAATACCTTCAGCAAAACAAAATACCCCCGAGTGCATTCTTGTATTCTCTGTCTGTGTGTTTAGCGTTAGAATGCAATGCTGCTTTTGAATTCGTAATGGAGATAAAAGCCCATTTAAAAGCAAGGGGGGAGAGAATTCCAAGATGTCGCTTGCCAGCAGGAGGTGGCAGTTTTCATTTGGAGTTCCCACCAGTTTTCTATTGGCTTTGTTATTTGGTTTCCGATATTTGTTTCAAGCTGTGTATTCGCCCAGCAGGGAACTGGGCTTTTGCGGCAGAAAATTTCCCCAGTAGCCATCAGGCAAATTGCAGCAAAAGCAGCATGAACCCATGTGGGATAACAGAGAGAACTTCTTTTGGTCAAAAGTAAAAGTGGAAGCAGCATTTCTATGTGCTAGAGCACAGAATTATTCCAGTCACAAAGAAAATGAAAGGGGTGGGTGGCCCAGTCTTAATCTCACAGGAATAAGCAGTTAGGGGTGCCAAGTCCTGACCCCAGCCAGGCTTACCTTCATGCTCTTCAACCCGCTCAAGTTGAAAGTCATCTCATGGGTAAAGTAGCATCTTCAGTGAAAAGCACGGAGCTTTTCGGGCTCTGTGGAAGAGCACTGAATAGGGACAGGGCAGAGTTTTTTACTGTTCATGTTTGAATGCAATTTGCAATTTTCGTTTGCAATTTCAAACCGTTATGTGAGCCAGAACTCAGTTATCCATCAAAATAGGCAGTTTTCTGAACATTGCCATGGCCTCCAATTAAAAAGTGCTGATCAAATTGCATATATTAGAGAAATGTTCAATAAATATTGTATTAGGAAAGTGTCCTGTAAAAAGTTCATATATTAATAATATATATTGATAATTAGGAATTACGTTACTATATTAGGCAAAAGTGTATAAAATACATGCGATGTTAGAAATGTGCACAAAAGCCTTAAGAGTTTTCTTGAACATTTTTATTTTAAAAAATCCCAAACTTTTGGATGAACTGAACTCAAGGCTGGAGTTCTCAGAGTTTGAGATGAACTGCTCTTACATCGGAAAAAAGTTAAATGGGCAGATATCTCTATCCCAATTCTGACTGAAGCTCAAGAGCAGCTTTTCCCAACTTGGTGCCCTCCAGATGTTTTGCACTGTGATTCCAGCGACTTCTTCGCTGTGGACCATATTGGTGGGGCTGGTGGAGGTTGACTTCCAAAGCATCTGGAAAGCATCACGGATGGAGGAGCCTGCCTGAGAACGCAGCTGCCAGATGGAGCATGAGGCGGTCTTCTGTGTTCCTAAGATTTAGGAAGTTCAGCTGTGGGTGCAAAGGAGGGTTGTGCCTACTTCTCCCCAGCGCACCCTTCTTGCTGTTGAGATCAGACCTTTCTGCATGAACAGGGCAGTGCCATGTTTAAACACACTGCCACCATTCTCTCTGCCGTGCTGCACTTGATGCAGGGACCCTGCAGGTCAAGCCTTTGGCTCTCAGCCTGGCCTACTTTAAAGGGCTGTTGTTATAAAATGAAGAAATAAAAGAAAGATTCTCTGCAGTATTATTGGCCTTGTATTGCACTGATACATTTTCCCTGCATTCCATTTTTTCCTCTTGCAAGGAACCCGAGCTGGCTCGCATAGTCACGCCCCATTTTTATCCTCACTACAACAATAACTCTGTAAGGAAGGCTGGGTTGGGACCAGCCCAAAGTTACCCAGTGAGCTCCGTGGTCAAGTGGGGCTTCGATCCTGGACCTTTAGAGTCCTGGTCCGACACTCACCACCACACCGCACTGGTGTGCTGAAATGAATTAGGCATGGGGAGGAATTCAAAAGTGATGTTGCACTTTGATTTCTGTGCAAGCCTCTGTGTTGTGAATCCATAATCCATCCTGCAGCAACCTTGCCTTGAAGTTAGGAAGGCACAGAAGGTTGCTAGTCCTGAATATGATAAAAACCATTACCAAAATTGGTGGTTCCATGTTAGTGTTGCTAGGGCATAAGCTGTCTGACTTCCTTCTTCCCTCAAAAAGAAAAGGAAAAACCCAAATCAGGAAGACAAGCCAGGACTTTCAAGCCAAAGCAGAATTTCATATCAACCAACATAAGCAACTATACTCCTCCAAATAGATAATTTGTTGAACCCAAACCTTAATAACCCAGACTTTGATCAAACTAAAGCATCTTGCATTTCTCCACAGTATGAGTCCATATCTGCAGTAAGGACACTCTAGAAGCAGGTTTGCATTTCAGTGGCAAGTAGACTTTAGTCCTGGAAGAGGGCAGAATTAGACATCATTTTGCATAATGTTTGCACATACACATTTGTAAGCAGAGGTGGAAATTTGCAAGTAAATAGGATTCAAAGATGAATCTCTCTTGCCATGACAGAGAGGACTGTGGCCAGGTTACCTGTGCTGTCTGCTGTCCATGTGCTAAGAATGGACTTATGGGGTCAAGGCTCCTGCCCTTTCTTCTGATGATTCTTTAGCTTAAAACCGGACTTGCATTTGGCACCTCTTCCAACAGAGGACTGTCCTTGGCCAGCTCCCTAGAGCAGAGGATGCTCTTTGGAAAATAGGGTACATGGCCACCCAAATGGAGACAAAATTCCTTTGAAATCATCTTACCCAGCAGCTTCATAAATATGGAGCAGGATGAAGGATGTTATATTGATTTTTATTTATTTAACATATGTCTGGGTTGCTTTCAGGGCGGGAGCCCTCCCATATTGGTGTACAACAATCTAATTCATATAACAATAAAAAACTGCACAGTGGTAATAAAAACAACAAACATTCCAAGAAATGCATAATACAGAACTTACAACACAGAAGAACCTACTGGGATGTGGCAGAAAAGAATCTGCATAGATCATGAACAATCAATATTTTCAATAGGCAGATAGTTCCTATTGTTTGTACCGAGACTGTAAATAAGACCATTTGGAGGCAAAATGTATCCCACCCACCCTGAAATGTGGTTCTTTTAGCAAACAGGGCTGTTGTTTTCCTGCCAAGAAATCTTATTCCCCTCCCTTTTTCTTGGCACAAATTAAATATTTAACATTGTTGGCATGCTCTTTTCATCATGACAGAATCTCCAATGGTAGAGGTGGTGGAGGAAAACATTACTTGATTAAGCTTGGCTGTGCTTCTGCCGAGTATGTTACAGGCTCAATTATTACTGCATTATACTGTTTTGCAACAAAAATTCCAAAGACATTAATTGATCGTGGCATGCAGCAGGCAGAAGTGGCCTTCTGTTTGTTTGTTTTTTAACACTAAGGTGCAGGTTATACACAGTCATGTAGGCAGGGTGTGCAAAAGCAGATAAGCTCTCTGCTGAGAATGAAATTAGGAGAAGGAAAATTAGAAGTAGCTGGATTTGGGGGAAAGGAGAAACTTCAAGGAGAAGGCACTTAAACTGTTACTATACTAAGAAGGTTCTCTGAGAGATTTAGGACACCATCCAGTGGGAATGCACAGAAGCTTTCACACCCAGAGGATTATGGGAATTCGGTGCAGTGTGCATGGAACAAGGAGGCCCTCTTTGTCTCCGTGCTGCTCCTGCCATGCATGTCAGCAAGATGGCCATAGTTTGCTGTCTAGCTGAGGCAGAAACAGGCTGGAATACTGCCAGTTGTGTTCTGGTCTGGTGGATCCAATCCCCTTCCCTTGCCTTCCCATCTTCTGGAACACCCTCTGTCCCCTTCTCTGAGGTCCGTCTTACCACCTCAAAGAAGCAGCTGGTGAAGTTCTTTCCACACTGACTGTGAGCAGGAGAAATGGACGTAACTGTGCTTCCCCAACTCAAAAGTGGGAGATCCCTTCCAGTCCCAGAGCTGCAGATCTGTAGGGCCATAGAATAGTGCTAGACTTTATGTTCTATTTATTCTTAATAAACCCCTTAGTAAGCTCTTACTTGATGTTGCATACATCAAAATTAAAAAATAAGTTCGATAAAGCAATAAGGAAAGAGATAATAATAGAACTAAAACAATGGATACACGAGAAATAGCAGGATCCTTTTCTCTGACTGTGGATCTTTCTCCCCATTGCAAACCCCACTGGACGGTGGTAAAGGCAGGAGCGTGTGAATATTCTGGGTGAGGCATGGCAGGGGACAAAGGGCTACATGCCCCCTCCCACGATCCCAATCTGGTGTCTGGCACGCACACATGGGATTCACTGTGTATCATTCATGTACAATGTATGCAGCCATATACTCACAGGTGTGCCAATGTAATATCATGTCTGTTTTCAGATATGACCATATACTGGCATTCTGGGAATGAATGCTCATCCACATATTTAGGATTATAGGGCTAGTGACAATGACTTTTGTGCAGTAAATCAGTTTACATCTAAAAACTAGCATGATCACAGAATTTAACAACTGACTTAAGTTTAATCAGCTGATGTCTGCAGCCGTCTATTAGTGCCTTGAAGAAGCTGGATTCACTCAGATGTCTTTTAAGAAGGCCAGAAGACTCCAGGGATAAGAATGAAGCTGTTCAGAAAATGCATATTTCTACCAGAAAAACAAGCACACTTTGAAATGGAATAAATATAACACTGGCAATGATCTTTCAAGGAAATGACCCAGTGTAACAGCTCTGTTATTGTCTTTTTTTTATTTTCCAGTGCTGCATACGATGCTGTTCTTGACAGAAATGTGGCCATCAAGAAGCTCAGCCGGCCGTTTCAAAATCAAACACATGCAAAGCGAGCTTATAGGGAGCTAGTCCTCATGAAGTGTGTGAATCACAAAAATGTAAGTTTCTTTTTTGGTAGATTAAGAAGCACAAACATTTGACCCTGCTAAATAAAAAGGGTAATGTTATGCCGTTATGAGAAATTTGCCTTATTACTGTTTATTATTATCATCATCTTCACATTACATTCCTTCTCCACTCCATTTTATCTTTGCAATGGCCCAGTTAAATAGGTTAGGCTGAAATTGAGCGACTAGCCTCATGTTACCCAGTGAATTTCCTGGCTGAGTGTGGACTAAACCCAGATCTCCGTGGTCTGCAGTTCATCACTCCAGCCATTGCATCATGCTGGCTCTCTCATAACAATGATTATTTTAAAGACAAGATTCAGTATTGCTATATGTGTTCCAGCAAATAGGAGCAGAAAGATTCCAGCCACCATTTTGCAGAGGTTGCATCAGCTGGGGATGTCTCAGGGCTCCATTGTTCCTGTCCAGAAAGAAGATGTCAAGGAAAGGGCAGAAGCTGCGTGGCATTCTCTGTTTTCTGGCTAGAAGGCAGTGAGTTACAACTGAGCCCAGGATCAGCATATTTGATTATGCTGTCGCTATGGTGATCTTCTATTTAAATCCCATGAAGGTCCTGTAGAGAAGAGTGGAAAACCAATTCAGTTACTCTTCTCTGGTGCAACAGTAGATCAATTATGCTCTGAATATTCACTCTGCAGCTACAGCATGGGCATATGCTAATATGGGATAATCTTTATGCTTATGTGAACAGAATCAGGATTAAGGTGAAGGTCACGTTTACTCATGGGGGTAAAGCCATGGAGTGGTGAACTGTGTTTGCCAAAGGTGAAAAAGTAGCTGAAGCAGATTTCAAGAGTCTGGCAGCAGGCTTTTGCCCTTTGCCTGCAAGTCCTGTGAGCTCCTGCTTCATCGGTAAACCATTCAAGGCAAAATGCTTCTCACAATTTTAAAACTGGAATGACAGTCTGTATTAATTCCAAGTCAGTCCAGGACCTGGCGCTGCTCCTTTGAGTGAACTAATTAGGTTGGATGCTTAACTAAGCTATGCTTAAGGTAGGGCCCATTGAAATCAGTAGGAATTAAGTCCCATGAATTTCTGTGGGTCTGCTCTCAAGCGTAAGCCTGCTTGTAGCCCAGGAGCTCCAAGTGATCATTCTCATGGTGGGGCTGTATTTCCACGGGTTGGGCTGCAGAATGTGCAGAGTTGGGCCAGAGGGGGCATAGCACAGTGGTGGAGAACATGCTTTGCATTCTGGAGGCCCCCGGTTCAATTCCTGTCATCTCCAGGTACGTGGCTCTTGGGAGGAATCTGCTCAAAACCCTAGAGAGTGGCTGCTGCCAGTCAGCGTTAGTGTTACTGACCTAGATGGCCCACTGGTTCGAACTCATCCTTGCTCCTCTGCAACAATAGCAGCATTTATTTTGATCCTATCTGAAACTGCCCGATAGGGACAACAGTGTTAGAGGGTTGTAACTCCTGTTAGAGGAGATGTAGCAAGGCACTTTACTTTATAATAGGCAGTCTGCTCTTCTTTGGAAGCCTCTCTCCCTCTTCCACTCATTTTGCCCTTCCCTGGCAAGCATCAGTAATAAGCCACGGATGCCTTCCAGTTTGCAAATTCTACATGTTTGTTTCCAGTGAGGCTGAAAATTCAATTGTAGAACTCCGAGTTTTGAGGCAAAATTTGTTCTAGCTTTTGTTGCATCTAATGAGCCACAGGCATGCAAACACGGCCTCAGAAAACAAATGTCTTTCTTTGCAACATTTACCTCTGTAATATAATGTTTGTGGAGTGGTTTTTGCTGTTTGCTTTTGCTTTTTTTTTTCTTTACTCTTGTAGCATGATTGATTTGTGTAAACTGAACTGTTATAAACAGCCACAGTTATGTTGGTAGAACAATCTGTCACAATCTGATCAACAGCTAATGTTTTATTATCGTTCTATCTTCTCATTTCTTCCCTCCCTTCCTCCCTCCTCTTACTGCTTTTCAGATTATCAGTTTATTAAATGTCTTCACACCACAGAAATCGCTGGAGGAGTTCCAGGATGTGTAAGTAATGTGGACAAGAGTAAAACCTGTACTTGCTCTGTCTGTGTGTTTGTGTGTGGAGGGGAATAGGAGAAAACATAGCACTCTCTAGCAAAAATTAAAATCTACAAACACTAGAACATCAGGTGCTGCTGCTTTTAAAATTGCCTTGCAGAGATGCTCAAGATTGAATTGGCAAAGTTTAATATGATCTGCCCATTGCCTTCAAGTATTACAGAAATCAGTTTTCATCTTGGTGTGGGAGTGCAGAAATGTGTGCACAGGGCATCCTTCTAGTGGCATCTAGGACAAAAAAGCAAGGGTAAGATGGAAGGGCCTGAACCTATATGCAAATAAATGTGAAAGGCTTTACAAGCTTGGCTTCTTTTCTTCCTTCTTTTCTGGTGGCTTGCTTAGGAAATACCAGTTCCTTCAGAACTCCCTGAGGTTTGCAGGCCTTTGAAAAGTGGGTAATTGGCTCTGAAATAATCCCCTTTTTAAAAAATAAAAAAGGAGGATCTGAACATTTCCCCCTCTTTCATATTTATTTTCTGATAATATACAACTCTGTAAAAATTATCTGCCCCTGGACAGATAATACTAGCAGAGAATTGCTAGTATTTCAACTTTCTGTTGCCTGCTATTGCTTGGCATGTAATGAGAACCTGATCTGAATGAAATTTGAGGTAGAGGACCAGTGTTTCTTTTTGGACAAACTCCCCTTCTCCTACCTTTTGTCCATTTTCTTCACTTTCCCCAATGTAGATACAAATTCTCAGTTAGGCAATCAACTGTTCTCCTCACACTGTGGTTTGTCAGGGGTCTGAAAGCTCTGTCCTGGGCTGCCTTTGGCAATTGCAGATGCCTTTGGGAAAGTGCTCTCCATAATCTCCCTGTGTGACAGAGTAAAAGAAAAAAAGAGAAAGGCAGAAGAAGGCATGATGCCACAGTGGTATAACCCAACTTATGCTAAGGAAGAAGGGGACTGTATTGAGCGGGGGCGGGTTGCAGAGATAGGATGGTATTTTCTCAGGCCTTCTGAGATGGATAGGAAAACTTACCAGGTTTTTTTTTTTTTTGGGTAATGTCTGAATTAATTCAAGTCAAATTTCAGGGAACTTTCCTGTTTCTAGCAATAACTTCTTCTAACGTCCAAGCACTTGGCTGGATGCTAAGCCTTGTGAATCTTTAAGCTTCTTTAGGGACCCATTCCTAAACTGTGCCTTCTTTCCATCCCTAGACAATTCCATTCCAGGAATTCCTTGGTTCCCATGCTGGCTTAACAACCAGTGTTGGGTTTTTACACTTCAACCACACATTGTTTTGCCACTTCCCAATTTGCACAGGATTACATGATCAGCCTCCTACAAATATTATTTTGCTGCCAAGCAGGCCAGCTACACAGTCCCTGCTTAGAGGGTGACGATAGCTGTAATAAGCAAGCAAGAAAAAAGGAAGAAAAGGAGTTGTAAATGTGTCACTGAGGAAAGGAATATTGCACTGTCAGCAGCATTAGGGAGAAGAAAGGTTGCCTCGGGCAGCAGGTGCAACTGTAAGGTGTCAGAGGAGAAAGCGGTGCCTCTTGGCTCTTTGTGTGCCCCCTAACCTAGCCTGTTGCATTCAGGTGCAGCAGGGGATGTGATCCAATGGACAGTGTTGAGATAGTCAATACTGCCTGTCCAGTGAGCTCTTGTTTATGAACTGTGAGGAGGCACCATGCTGTTCTTTGCTTCAGGCAACAAGATGTCTCAGGCCATCCCTCTAGGTGATGGAGAAGCATCTGCTATGAAGCCAGAGTGATTCAGGGGGCGGGGGGCTTTGTTTAGGGCAGGGATGAAGCTCAGTGGCAGAACGCAATGCTTTGCAGAGCCTGGCATCTCCTGCTAAAAGAATTTTGGGTAGCAGAACCATTGCCGTCAAAGTACACGGTCCTAAGATGTGGGCCAAGGAAATATAAGGCGTTCCTAAGCTGGTGTTCCTCAGAAGGGACTTGAAGGCACAAAAAGAGGCACCCTGGCAACCAAGTGGGAAGTTGCTCCAATCCACATGTGTGGGATGAAAAATAAAGATAAGCCTGTGGCGGGGCGGGGGGGTAAGGATGTTTCATTAGATATGAAGCTATTAGCACCTAACTCAGTGACTGCTTCCCACGCTCCCTAACCTCAGTGTCATGAACGGAATCTGTGGAATTGATTCCCTGGCTGCTTTTCTCACATCGCCCCATGGCATTCTGCTGGGAAGTCAGCTATAAAAATAATGCTGTTACAGAAACGCCCCATCCATGCTAAGTAGTGACTGCACGCCCTTATTCTCACGTCCAGGTATTTAGTAATGGAGCTGATGGATGCCAACTTGTGCCAGGTGATCCAGATGGAGCTTGACCATGAGCGAATGTCTTACCTCCTGTACCAAATGCTTTGTGGGATCAAGCACCTTCACTCAGCAGGAATCATTCACAGGGTAAGGCAGCTACTTTGAAGAACAACGCTTTCATCTCACTCTGTCCCGCCATAACAGAACTAAAGCAACTCTGCATTCAGCATGTTTGAAGCCGGGACTCATATCTGTTTTGTTCCCCACTCCTGCTTCCCTTTCCCTGGTCTCTTGCAGGATTTAAAACCAAGTAATATTGTGGTAAAATCTGACTGCACATTGAAGATCCTGGATTTCGGGCTGGCCAGGACTGCAGGCACTAGCTTCATGATGACTCCCTATGTGGTCACACGTTATTACAGAGCACCAGAAGTCATCTTGGGAATGGGCTACAAAGAGAATGGTAGGATACATATGCACATGACCTGAACATATAGGATGGATTAAAGCTAGGATTTCCAACTGACCAGGAAGCAAATTGGCCCATGCAGTTCTGTGCCTTTCACAAAACCTTATTGTACAGATATTGTCAGGTGGATTTTTCACCAGCTTGGAATAAGCAGTGTTAGCCGTCCATTGATTTTATTGCATGTAACCATAGGTTCATACAGTTTTGCAAGAACAACAACAGCAACAAGGCACAGTCACAGAGAGAGGAGGACTGAATGGGCCAGTCAGATCAGTTCCTCATGTGTGTAATCTGTGGCAAAATGTTTTAGGATGCTTCTTCTAATCTTTTTGGCCACTGTGAATAAGTCTGCATGGTTAGTTATGTAAGAGTTGCATCTACAAGCAGGTTACTCATCTGCTCAGCTAATGTTCTATCACACCTAGAACACGACATCCTCTATTTGTAGAGCTCCACGTATTCAAAGGCACTGAAATGTGGGAACACGATTAACCTCCCATCCAGACACAAGAAGGCGGAGTCTGGAAGCAAAATTCTACAAATGCCTTCCTTGGTTCTTAGATGGTCAAGGAGTTCAGGGCACCGTTCTGTCAGCTGTGCCCTTGATGCTCATAACTCAGAAGCTGAAGACCATCCTGTGCAGAGCCGGAGGTGATCTTGCCGCACATTTCACTTTGCACAGCTGCTAGGTGGCTGACTTCAGCTGCCTCGAGGGCTCCAGGGAGAGGCAGGAAGGAGGTGGGGGTGCTGCCTGATTATGTCATATGTTGGCAGACTTAGACTCTTCCCCTCCCTGTCCCCCAAATGCTTCCTAAACCCTGTCCAAGCTTGGAGAACTGGCCAGCTCTTTTCTTTTCCCACTGGTGGAGAGGGGAAGGAGGATCCAAGCATGGAGTGCATCGGAATCAGAGGCATGTTATGCCCCCTGGATGTTGTCAGTGGCCATAGGATTGCTCTGTCCAGTAATCAGAGAAAGATGACTCACCACCTGCTAAATCCTGTTTGTTGACTCCCCCTCCCCCACCACATGCACACCTTTGGTTAACAGCCTGCGGTAGAACCCATCTCTGATTATAAACTGAGGCTCACTTAGTTGGGGGGAAGCCAGTGAGGGGGGAAAATTGACTGTTCTTTCTAAACAGGAAGTCCACTCACCTTTATTCTTCTGTTCGTAACAACAATGTTTAGGCAGTTGGTAGTCAGGCCTGTTCATCCATCCTTTCAGACAAAAGAAAATGGCCCATTTACTGGGCCTGGATGGTAGCCCAACTTCTGTCTGATAGAGAAGAGCAGGAGTGCTAACAGAAAGGTCCAGATTGTTTTTCAGGAACCCTGGAAACTGCAGAAGAAACAGACTCGAGAGGGAAATTTAAACACATAAACAGGTGGAACAAGCTTATTTTTCATCACAGTGGTGGAAAACACCATATGCATTAAGTGATCTGCCTGGTTCCTGCAGACAGGGTGATGAAATGCTGAAGATACTGCTGGAGTTAGGAAACTGTATAAAGATCAGTCAAATAGATACGGCACTCCCTGTATCTCACTAATGAGGTTCACGAGCCTTTGTTTCTCATCATCACAATGGGGAAGAAGAGGTGGAGGGTGTAATCTCATGCACACTTACACAGAAAGAAGGCCTACAATTCCCAACATTTGGGACATTCCAGGCGTTATAGTACCTTTTTCTGTCTAACCTTGCATAAGATTGTGCTCTAAAGACCTTTTTGCCACATCTCTGTTCTAAAAATTAGTGACTATAGTCCAACTATCTCAGCTGGCCCTCCAGAACTTCCCAATTCAAAACATGGTTCTTGTTGCCCTAGCACAGTATATCTCAACAATTTGTTCCAGAATTCATTTCGGTTGCATTTCGGTGCTTAATCCATAGGATGCCCCATGAGTGCTCATGGGTCAGCTAATGAACACTAACAGCATCCAACCCTCTGGCCAGTAAAATATATTGTAGAATCAACTCAAGGAGAGAATGATAACAAATCCCAATGGTGCAGACTACTTAGAATAGATCCTCTTCGGTGCAGGAGACCGTGGAGTTATGTACGCACAAAGCTTGGGGCACACTCAAGATCCTTCACTCATGGAAGTTTGCGGGGCCTTTTTCACAATATCATCATTCTCTGGGCCTCTTCTGTGTTTTCCACCTTTTTAATGGGTTTGGATGGAGAGAGAAAAGTCTGGTATTCAATGACAAATAGCAACAAACAAGGAAAACATTCTGGTGAAAAGTCCCCAATCCGCTGTACAGCAGTTAAATGCCGCCACCACCTTGTGGTTGGTTAATAGAATACACAGAACAGCAGAGAGATAAGGAGACACTCTGCATAAAGGATGCAGTTTTCCTTCCACAAGAATGGGAGACATCCCAATAAAGTAACGGGTTAAACCCCTCATGCGGAAAGAGCCCGTGGCAGATTGCACGAAACTATATCTTCAGATATGGTGCCAGTCAAATAGTGAGGTCCTATAAGTGATACATCTATTATTATTACATTACATTTATATCCCACCTTTCCCCTTTTGCCTTACATGGTGTTCCTCAATCCATTCTTAACCTTACAACAACCTTGTGAGGGAGGTTAGGCTGAGAATCCACACCTGGCCCAAAGTCACCCAGTGAACCTCATGGCCAAATGGGGACGAGAACCCCCCATCTCCCAGGTATCCAGTTGAACACTCAAGCCATCACGCCGCACTGGCTCTTGGCCAGACGGAGGGAAAGAGATTTAGTTTTGAAAACTGGCATCCTGACCTAGAATAAACAAGAAAACCAGGCAAGTTATAGCACTAGGAATGCTATCTAGAGGACATTTGGAGTAAATCACATCAAAGAACAGTGTAAACTTCTTGTCTGTGCACCAGCAAGAACTGATTCAAAGCAGCTTTGGTAAAGTTATCTTCAGCTTTAGTTGAGGGCAAGTGAAGACCTTTTCCACTGAATGATACTAAGCACCCCTAATCCAGCCTTCTTCAGCTGGGTGCCTTCTAGGTATGTTGAACTATAACTCCATCATCCACAGCCAACATGTCTGGTCATGCTAGGTGGGGATGATAGGAAGTGAAGTCACATCTGGATGGTGGGCAAGACAGTTGTGAGCACCAAATCTTTTATAATACGTAATGGCTGGAAAATTGGCACGTGCTCAATTCATATTGGGACTATTTCAATGGGGTTGATTTGGAGGATGCTGGCAGGATACCTTGAATTCTTTGAATCAAAATGAATGCTTTGCCGGAAATTTCTCCCACATTTTGGGCTATTCTCATTCAGTCTGACAATAAAGAAATGGCCTGTGAAAAGAAGTGAAGAAAATTGATGGAGAAAATGTTCAAGAAATATCCTCATGGGTTGGGTTTTCTCATACTCACCTTGCTTATGTAGCGGCTGAAGAATGTGCCTTGTTTTTCATTGCACATTCATCTCTCTGGCAGCCTGTGATCTCCTCAGCTTCCCACACTCCCTTTAAAGCCCAGGAGAAAACATGATCTAGTTCCTCCTCCCACAGAGCTGGGAAGTGTGGGCAGCCTGGGAAGCAGCGGAGCAGAGAGAAAACGAGTAACAGAAAGAAAATGCACATACTGTGTTCTTGGGCCCCTCAGAGTGGTTGGAGAACTTCAAAAATGCCACCCAGGTAAATCCAAAGTAGAATGAAACATGAAAATGAGGCAGAACAATGGAGACTTCTCTCACGGAAGAAGGTAATTTTCAGGAATTTGGAGAACCGATTTTGTGTTGGGGCTGGACACATTGCCCCTCTCACACCTTCATTGTGATGGATGTACAATGGGGGCCGGCCTACCCACACAATTGATGCTGCTGTCACATGTGCAGCAGCTAACCTCAAACCCCTTACTGATAAAGAAAGAAACTATGGTTCGGCTCCTTCCAGTGGTGGCCCCTACCTGTGAGAAATGGTTGAGATTTCTCCTTCCCTTAGAGAAATTTGGTGAAATTGTCCCTCACTACAGGCCTTTTGCAGACAGCTGTAGTTAAAAAGACCCTGTTTGAGGTTCCAAGCGGCTGAAGTCTCTAGGACATGCTTATGCCATCATGAATGTGATAAGGTGACGGAGGTTCCCATGCAGGCCTCTGCTGTCAGTCTTCCTTTTTCAAGGTAAGGAGATGTTTGTGAAGATGCTCATGACTCACTGAACCTCAGGTTGAGGCCTAGTTATTGTCACAGTCATGTTCCACTTCCATGCCCCAACCTGCAACTCAGCGATTCTTACTAGCGCTTCTCACATTTTAGCCACCAATTTTCTGAAGGCTAGTGGAAGGGATAAAGTAATACTGGGCAAAGAAAGGTCAATTTAGGGCTGGGACCAATCTGGTTAGTCCCTCCCATTTGGAACAGAAAATTTATTATAGCAAATGCTCAGTTCATGATATCAAAAAGTCAGAGTCAGACTTCAACAATGTATACCAGGCCTCTTCAATCCAGAGGCCTCATACTGCTTTCCAATCACAAGGGACTGTGTTACTGTATAGCCAGCATTGCATTGGGCTGGTCTGACCACTCCAGGTTTCAGGTTAAACTTTAAAAGAGTGATCCTTGGTGCTGAGCCTATTTTAAGAGGGCTCAGCACCCTAGAGAGTGCCTTAAAATGTAGATGAATGCTTGGAGTCGATAGAGCACTGCCTTAACATTGCAGCCACCGCAACCCTGTTCCCCTCTGTGCCTGGAAAGCACTCCAAGAGCTGAGTGTTCACATTTCTTGATAGCAACGTTGTTTGAGCATCTCAGAAGTTGCCTCATCTGAGTATCAGATGCCCTTACTCCCCGGGGATGCACCTGTTGCATGCACCTGTCCATTCAGGTGCTATAATATGGAACATTCCTAGGTAAGCACAGAAACCGCTGCTGTGAAATGTAGTAATACTATACTGATGCTGTGAGGTGTTTTTAAAAGAACAAGAGGAATCTCTCCAGTCAGACCAACATGTTAGGAAAAGAGAAAGATAGGATTATTTTCTC